GGATAGATATTTGAGGAAGAACTTAGAGATGCGTGAAATGCATTTAGAGATATTTTATTGCATTTTAAGAAACACTTGGAAACTGTTAACTGTATGGAAAATTTTCAGGCCATCTGGTCCTTTGTCTCTGCACACAATTTGTTTCTTAATTCAGATTTTCATCTTTTTTTGTAGTATTTCATGGTCATTTTTCTTTTCCTCATGAAATTGGCCTACCTATATCCATGCTTAATTGCTGTCCTAAGAAATATATTCTAAACACTATTATCCTTCACATGAAGTAGTTCAGCTTTTCTTTGTTTACTCCAAGATTTATATTACATATAATCCCTAGGAACAGCAAATACCCTCAACTCTCTTCACAGTGTAACTCCAAGCTACTGTTATAATCATTTCCATAATTTCAGAGTCTTCACTAAGGATTTTGACGGATCCTCTTTTCTGTTGTAAACAAATTTATTGGTCCACATTTTCACCCTAAATCTATGGGAGAATTGTTAGGATGTGATCTTGCCTGTTTTCTTTTAACTGTTCCATTGAACTCAAGCTTAATATGTCAACATCAAGGGCTATCACGTTTCTAACACTAGAATTGGTTTGCTTCCCACATAATACTGAAGACAAGGAAAAAAGAAAGAAAATCTCAGTTAACTGCAGGCAGAGAAGAAAGAAATGCCAGGTACACTTCACCGATCTACTGCTAGGTCCTTCTCAAAGTAAACACTGCTGACCTTGAGATTTCTCACTGTTACTCTTTTCTCAGAGAATTCATTAAGTGGTGCCATTAAAACCTGACCACTGTGCTTATCATTGTTGTTACTGTGTTGGTAATAGTATCCAGTGTCCTGCTGTCCAAAGCAAAGGGCAGTTGACAGAGCCCCTGAAGTTTGAGAAACATTTTACATCATTCTGTTGGTCTGACAAAAAAGAAAGTGGGAGAACTGACAATGGGTGAAAGAAATTTTACATGTATTTAGTTATGGAAGGAGGTGTAAAGTCATGTTTATTCCCTGATCTTTGGAAACCAGTAGTGACGTGACCAGTTTCTAAAACAAAAAGTTTGTGTCTTAAACCTGAACAAAGGATACATGATCATTCTAATTCTGGAATTCTATTATAAGAAAGAATAGTCATATCCACTTACTTATGGTCTGGCTAATTTCTAAAATAATAAACTGTTAGCCAAAAGTCATTTTTTCCTAACCAAGGAATTAATTTGTATGTTCAGAAATATTTATCAAATAGTGTTAAATTCAAATGAGTAAGATAAATCTGCAGAACTGAGAAAATTTTGTAGGATTTTGGTTGATGAAGAAAGCAATTTCCGCAGCACAAAATAGTATAATCCTACTTGCAAAAAAGAATATAATGTTAATATGTGCATGCATACATTTTTTCTGTGGATAAAAATAGAGAAAAACTTTAAAGATACTGGATTGTTCACATTGGCCATATCTTGGAATAGAATTGAGATTAGGAAAGGGGATGACTCATTTTTAAAATACATTTCCAGACAAAAATCTCAAAACAAAATGGGTGAGATTGCAGTTGGTCATTATTTTGCCATTTTCTATATTTTATACATTTTCTACAATATACATGTTATATCTTTGTAATTAATAACATAATAAATTAAACAAAATATAAGTATTTATTGAGAACCTATTCTCTTAGGCACCAAGGTTACAAAAGAAAGAAAGTGAATGATAAAAGAAGGAATAGATGTAGCAGTAGCATGGGGAAATTTACTGTAGAAAAACATTGGTTGTGTGGGGGAAGTGTAAACCCAAGCCTCCAAAGCAGGGATTGGGAGCTGGAAGCCTCAATATTTTGATAGACTCAAGGTAAATTCAGAGACAAAGGCATCTTTTCTCAGGAGAAATTAACAAACCCCTTTTTATAATTTTTGCTTTTCTGTATTTCTTCTAAAAAAAACCTACAGGTTACATGTGCAGAACGTGCAGGGTTGTTACATAAGTATACGTGTGCTACAGTGGTTTGCTGTACCCATTGACCCCCATCCTCTAAGTTCCCTCCCCTCGCCCCCCTACACCCAAACAGACCCTGGTGTGTGTTCTCATTGTTCAACTCCCACTTATGAGTGAGAACATGCGGTGTTTGATTTTCTGTTCCTGTGTTAGTTTGCTGAGAATGATGGCTTCTAGCTTCATCCATGTCCCTGCAAAGGACATGATCTCATTCTTTTTATGACTGCATAGTATTCCATGGTGTATGTGTACCACATTTTATTTATTCAGTCTATCATTATGGGTATTTGGGTTGGTTCCATGTCTTTGCTATTGTAAATAGTGCTGCAATAAACATACATGTGCATGTGTCTTTATAGTACACTGATTTGCATTCCTTTGGGTATATACCCAGTAATGGGATTGCTGGGCCAAATGGTATTTCTGGTTCTAGATCCTTGAGATATCACCATACTGTCTTCCACAATGGTTCAAGCATTCCTTTACATGAACAATGGACAAGCAGAGAGCCAAATCATGAATGAACTCCCATTAACAATTGCTACAGGGAAAGAAATACCTAGGAATACAGCTAACAAGGGATGTGAAGGACCTCTTCAAGGAAAACTACAAACCAGTGCTCAAGGAAATAACACACAAACAAATACAAAAATTTTCCATCCTCATCGATAGAAAGATTCAATATCATGAAAATGGTCATACTGCCCAAAGTATAATATTGCCATCAAACTACCATTGACATTCTTCACATAATTAGAAAAAAACTACCTTAAATTTCATATGTAATCAAAGAAGACCTCATAAAGCAAAGACAGTCCTAGGCAAAAAAATCAAAGCTAGTGGCATCATGCTACCTGACTTCAAACTACACTCCAAGGCTACAATCACCAAAACAGCATGGTACTGGTACCAAAACAGACATATAGGTCAATGGAACAAACAGAGACCTCAGAAATAGCACTACATAGCTACAACCATCTGATCTTCAGCAAACCTGACAAAAACAAGCAATGGGGAAAGGATCTGTTATTTAATAAATGGTGCTGGGGAAACTGGCTAGCTATATGCAGAAAACTGAAACTGAACCCTTAACTTTATATAAAAATTTACTCAAGATGGACTAAAGACTTAAATGTAAAAACCTAAAACCATAAGAACCTTAGAAGAAAGGCTAGACAATATTCAGGACATATGAATGGGCAAAGACTTCATGATGAAAACACCAAAAGCAATTGCAACAAAAGCCAAAATTGATAAATGGGATTTAATTAAACTAATGAGGTTCTGCACAGCAAAAGAAACTATAATCAGAGTGAACAGACAAGAGAATGGGAGGAAATTTTTGCAATCCACTCAACTGACAAAAGTCTAATATCCAGAATTTACAAGGAACTTAAACAAATTTACAAGAAAAAAAACATCTCATCAAAAAGTGGGCAAAGAATATGAACAGACAGTTCTCAAAAGAAGACATTTATATGGCCAACACACATATGAAAAAAAAGCTCAACATCACTGATCATCAGAAAAGTCCAAATCAAAACCACAATGAGATACCATCTCACACCCGTCAGAATGGCAATTATTAAAAAGTCAAAAAACAATAGATGCTGGCAAGGATGTGGAGAAATAAGAATGCTTTTACACTGTTGGTGGGAATGCAGACAAACTTTTATGCAATCAATTTTCACATCAATAAGACGTAAAAGCTGATGACAATTACATTAAAGTATATCTGTGAAGTTTTCTGAAAGAAACCAGAATACTTCCACTTTCAGTATGCTTTATCTTACTGATTTGCTTTCACATAGATCCAGATCTCAAACCTGTCCCCTTGGATAGACTACAGGTGTCCAGGATACAGAAATTATATGTAAACTATTGTTTTATATGGTAAGAAGGTAACCAATTTTCATCCTATTCTCAAGCAGATCCCTAAAGTAATATATGTATTTTTTAAGTTTGTAAGATTGATTTGTATTGTTATATGTAGCTAGGGTTTTTTTAAAATTTATTTTATTGCATTTTAGGTTTTGGGGTACATGTGAAGTACATGCAAGATTGTTGCATAGGTCCTAAAGTAATATTTTTAACCTTGTGGAATACTGGCCATCTACAACTGCATCTGGTATATTTACAGAGTTTCTTCAACAAATAAGAATCTCAAGATGGGACCTGGGGATAAAAAGCACTGGTTCAGAGGCATAAAGAGCTGCATTGTTTTTATGCTCCCCTTTGAATGTTTAGTTGTTTTACTTAGGTTTTAAATTAGAATTGGAAAGGAAATAATTCAAATATTAGAACCCTAATGAACTCTATTTTATCATGAGTCAAATACTTCTCAGGAAGCTTTTGGCACAAATACTAATCCTCCATTATACTTAATCACAGCTGATTGATAAAATGAGTGGGAATCTGGGTCCTCTTGGGGATAAACTCATAAAAACACCCCTGAGAAATGAATTTAGTAGCTACAGAATCCAAACAGGCCCCAGTGTTTGATGTTCCCCTCCCTGTGTCCATGTGTTCTCATTGTTCAACTCCCACTTATGAGTGAGAAGATGTGGTGTTAGGTCTTCTGATCCTGTGTTAGTTTGCTGAGAATGATGGTTTCCAGCTACATCCATGTCCCTGCAAAGGACATGAACTCATTCTGTTTTTATGGCTGCATAGTATTCCATGGTATATATTTGCCAAATTTTCTTTATCCAGCCTATCACTACTGGGCATTTGGGTTGATTCCAAGTCTTTGCTATTGTAAATAGTGCTACAAGAAACATAAATCTTTACAGTAGAATGATTTATAATTTGGGGGGTATATAATCAGCAATGGGATTGTTGAGTCAAATAGTATTTCTGATTCTAGATCACTGAAGATTCACCACACTGTCTTCCACAATGGTTGAACTAATTTACACTCCCACCAACAGTGTAAAGGCATTCCTATTTCTTCACAGCCTAACAAGCATCTGTCATTTCCTGACTTTTTAACGATCACCATTCTAACTGGCATGAGATGGTATCTAATTGTGGTTTTGATTTGAATTTCTCTAATGACCAGTGATGATGAGCTTTTTTTCATGTTTGTTGATTGCATAAATGTCTCCTTTTGCGAAGTATATGTTCATATCTTTCACACACTTTTTGATGGACTTGTTTGTCTTTTTCTTGCAAATTTAAGTTCCTTGTAGATTCTGAATAATAGACTTTCATCCGATGGATAGATTGCAAAAAGGTTCTCCCATTCTGTGGGTTGCTTGCTCACTCTGATGATAGTTTCTTTTGCTGTGTGGAAACTCTTAAATTTAATTAGATCCCATTTTTCAATTGTGTCTTTTGTTGCTATTGCTTTTGGTGTTTTAGTGAAGAAGTATTTGCCCATGCCTACGTCCTGAATGGTATTATGGTATTGCCTAGGTTTCCTTTCTTTTCTTTTTCTCTTTTTCTCTTTCTTTCTTTCTCTTTCTTTCTTTCTTTCTTTCTTTCTTTCTTTCTTTCTTTCTTTCTTTCTTTCTTTCTTTCTTTCTTTCTTTTTCTTTCTTTCTTTC